ATATATATATATATATATATATATATATATATATATAAGAAAATAGTACCGCATGAAAAAAATGGACAGAAGCATATAAAGCTACTCGAATTTATTATGAATCGTGTTTGTCTATAGGGCGTAGGATGTTCATCTGAACCCCTTTCGATCGGTTAAAATTATAATTATTATTTTTTTGTGTATATTTAGTATCAACTCTTTTGACTTCTTTGTTTATTTACTCGGTTATATTTTGAATCTCTAATAAAAATCTCAAACTCTGCAACGGATAGAAGATGATTGGAGTTGAAACATGGACTTGTTCTCCTTGTCACCCACCCACCCACCCAGGTCAATGCCCTAGGTCTTGAACACAAAGAATACATAGGTAAACAATGTACTATATACTACATTAAATGACTAAAATAATTCCACAAGAAGAATGGGAAAACAAATAAAAATTGTCAAATAAAAATGACACTGAGAAACCTTGACTTATAGTTTCTCAGAGATATTAAAATTTGTGGGGTACATATTTAATATTTTTTAACTTCTTGACATTATTCTCGTGGTGTGTGTTTCTCTCTCTATATATATGAACACACTAAATAAATCTCTATGTATAGTACATTGAAAATGAGAATACGGGCACTTTTACTTGTCCATTATATTATATAAAAATATTCAAAGATATTTAATCACTATTTTCGACGTACATGTTTCTAATTTATATTGAGCGTATAAAAATTGCATTGTCGAAGCGTATAACTTAAAATATAAAAACAAAAGGTGGTGGAGACAATAATATCACAATCAGAGTATTGACACTTTTCCATCAAAACTATTTGATACTAATTTCTTGGTTTTAATTTGTTTGAATACGTTGTACTAAAAAGAATGATTCTTTTTATTATGTTTTTTTTTAGCTTTTTTTATTTTAATTTTCCACTTGATATATTTGAGATCATGAGACTAAAGCGTTAGTATATTTGACAGATATTTTAAGTTTAGATCACTAAATTCAAATTTTTTTTCTCTTAAAAATAGCATAAAATCAATATATGTCACTCAATTCGAAAAGGAGAGAGTATATATCGTTAGAGATAATATTTTTGGTGGTCTCACGAAGACTTTCATTAATCTTAACTTATTTAAGAGATTATACACACGTACATTAAAAAATGTACTTTTTTTCCCCAATGGTTTCTTCATTCCACTATTTTGCTCCTTTTTTCTAATATTATTTGGGCATTCGGTAATTCGGTTCGATTTTCGTTTTTTTGATTTTCGCTTCTTGTATAATGTGTACCGAATACCGAACTGAAATAATTCGGTTCGGTTCGATTTTTATTATTTCGGTTCGGTTTTATTATTCGTTTTTTTTAATGGGCCTACTTAGTTGGATTTTTAAAAATTTACAAATTTTTTTGTTTGATTTTTCAGCTTAATGGGCTAAAAATAGTTACGTCAAAAAGTGTCTTTTACTTTTTACTTTTTTATTTTAAATTATAATACTTATTATTTAATATTAATATAATATAAATATATATGATAATATAATATATTTCGGTAAACCGAAATATCGAATAACACAAAATTACATACCAAAAATTGAATCGAAATATCGAAAAATACAAAATATATACCGAATATCGAACCGAAAACCGAAATATCAAAAAAGTTCGATTCGATACGATATTTCGGTTTTCCGGTGTTTATGCCCAACCCTAATTATTTTCAAAAAACATGTTTTGGTTTTCTGCTAGATATTTTATATTTACGTTAAAGTTTGACTGAATCTAAATTTATATGTTACATGATCATGCATGATAACAATTTTTGTAATATGATTTTTTTTTTCATTCTCGAACTCCCACCACAATCCATATTAGTAAAACTATTTATCTATGATAAACCAATATGGTTTAAGGTATTAATCCATATTAATAAAACCATTTATCTATAATAATTTTTAAAAAATCAATATGGCACTCCTATAAGGGTATTGTTATTTTATTAAGAATGAAATGAAAATGCAAAGATGGGACAGTGAAATGATTGCCCAATAATTGGAATCCTAAAATAGTAATACATTAGTCAAAAAATCAAAATAATATAAAAATAAAATTATGAAACTCGTTTATGGCTGCTCCAAACTGGAAATACATTAGTTTAGTTGAAACTATGGAAAAAAAAGCTCCGTTATTTTTTAATTCCAAAAGATTTTATTATACTTTTTTATTCATAACTGGAATAATAAGATAATGCAATAGTGAAAATTAATTAAATTAAAAGATGAAACACGTTTAATAAACTACTATTAGGAACCCCACATATGGCTGCTTAAAAATAGAAATATATATTAGGTTTGAAAATATGGAGAGAGATTTATGTGTACGTGGATTTAAAAGTTTTTGAAATTTGTAATGTTTTATTTTTTAAGAGTTAATTTAATTAAATTTTTTATGTGAATTGAGTAAGATTAACTTAATATTTGAAATAAAAAGTAGAGTATATATAAGACATTACTTTTTTTTTTGGAAATGTCCTTAAGATAATCTGTAGCCGTTATAATCTCTGTCACAGTTTTTATTTATCGTGTGTACTGATTAAAGTACTAGGTAATCCTATACGAAAGATATTGAGGGAAGATTGGTTTGGAGTCATCCATATAGAAGATCACCTTCTGAATCAACTGAGTCATTCCGAAGGACAGACACGATTATTTTCATACCAAAAGCATATTATAATTGCACTTTTTTTAATATATGTAGGTGAATTATAATTGTACTTTTTTGATCAATAAACATTATGCATCTATAGTACAATAGGCTAATAAATATTGCTTGAAATTTTATATCAAATATCTAATTATAAGATAAAATATTTTCTAATAAAAATATTTCTTTAATTGATAGATTTAAAGTTGAGACTTTTAAATAAGAATAAAAATATATTTGTCACTTTATCATAATGTCTGATGATTAAAAAGATAATTGAATGTATAACTCTATATTCAAAAGATATTTTTTCAAAATTTTATATATTCGATGGGTTCATCAGGTTTTGTTGTTGATCTGTAAATAACTAAATCATTCAACATTTTTGAAG